GAATTGTGTTGAAGAGTGAAATGGAGGAGATTGAGAATGGTGATTTGGTCGTTAGTTCTATAGATTCTCTTTATGAATCTGATGAGGTATTATTTATATTGACTATATTTTACTATTTCATAGATTTTTATAATGAACTTATAAATTCGGTCATTATTTATAATAATGAACTATTAGGAACTCAAATGTTGGGTCTGTGCAACGATTGATTCAATTGTCGACGAGTGGTGGTATCTTGCATGCAGACGTTGTAACAACAAGATTGCTGAAGAAGATGGGCTTTTAACTTGCACTAAATGTGCGCATAAGGTTGGAATATTTAGGTATGTTTGATTATTGCATGGTACTTAATATTTGATGCTTATTGCCTAATTTTCGGTTGTATATTTATATTACAATAAGTTTTAATGCATTTTTTTTTAGGTACAAAATTCGTTTGATTGCGTCTGATTCAACATCAAGCGCAACATTCATTTGTTGGGATAGGGAATCTGAAAAGATGATTGGAATACCATGCGAGTTATTGAGAAACCAATTTCTTCGTGAGGTAAATACATGTCTGGTTGTGATATTTCCTTTAATAATCCGGGTAATTCATTCTCAATTAAGTGTATTTTTAAATAATTAATTTTTTTGGTGAAACAGAATCCCAATAGCTTTGAACTTCCCGAAGACGTGGTTAATTTAGTTGGTAAAACGATGCTTTTTAAGGTTCGTGTATATCCAAAACAACCACACGGGGATGCTGCTTTGTTTTCTGTCGTGAGGGTTGTTGTTGATGAAACTTTAGTCTCCATGTACAACCAATGGATCGTTGAGAGCGAGGTATTAAAATATATTTTTAAACTATTTTGCAATATTTATTTTTGTTAACAAACATTCTTAATTAATTTATTATTTATATATGTAGGAATCTGACTTCCTTACGATACTGCAAAGAGAGGATCATGACAACGGCCTGGTTTGTTTAATTACGTTATTATCTACAATACACCAATATAAAGTATGATTTTTTTTTTCTTCATTTTCATTTTCGGTCTTAACATTTATTAATACATAGGACGCAACTGTGGATGATGAAGTGACTACACCATTGAAGGTTGTTCAAGCTATTGAACATTGTGAAACTTTGGCTGCTAAGAAGAATCTTTTCGATGATATATCCAAGTCGCCCAATGTGGACAAAGTTGTTGGATCGACCACGATCGATAAAGTTGTAATGGAATTTGATGTGGACGCTGATAATGGGAAGATGAAGGCACCATGATGTATGGTGTTTCATTTAAAATGAGAATTATTGATATTTTTTTATTGGGATATTTGAATTATTTTATCGTTGTTTTTCATAGATTAGCTCTTTAGGTTATTTCGGATCATTTAGCTTTTCATATGCTTAGCTTTTGATTATGATTACGAGTTTTTGGTGGCAGCATATAGCTGTCACTTTATTCAATCGCAATAAATAAAAGTTCTGTTCGTATTATAGATGCCAATCATTACATGAAAAATATAACATGATATAATTTTTTTGTTAACATCTTTTTGATGAAGACTTTATAATTGTTGGGATATATTAGAACATGCATACATCATATTTGATGTTTTTTATAAGTAGACTTATATTGCTATTTCGTTTTCAGAATATTAGTTAGGAATATTTTGTTATTATTTTCATTGGCACTATATGCCTGTCCATTTAATTATCATCTTTTAATTAGGAATTGCATTGTTTGGCAGCATCTTTGACCTCCATTTTGAGGGCAATAAATAAAGGCTATCTTTGAAAGATATATCTGCTATTATAGTTAGTTATTATTAAAGTAAATGTTTGTTTTTTAACATTTTTTTTTTCATTACCTCTTTTAACAA